AACATCAGTTGGACATATTATTTATTTTACACTTGTTATGAAAGACCCTATCTAATTCTGTCATATTCAACACAAGTGTGGACCGTCCGTCGGAATACCGCTTTAAGTGAGCAAATAATACAACAACAAAAACATCCCTCATCTTAAAGAACAGACGATGCTCTTGTTGGGAGCTAACACAGTGATGAGTTTGAATTCGCTGAGACACGGTGATAAATAAACCCTTGCATATTTCCCGATGACAGGACCGAGTTCATTTCTATCGACTGTTTATTCTCGGCATCGTGTTGTTTACATTTTAAGCGTGCAATTGAGAATAATCGCCACTTTGGATACAAGCGGCGCGTGATTGACACGTGTCACGTGACTTTCGGCTAACAGATGATTGGTTGGAGAAGACTGATTGACAGGCGGAGTCAACATCACCAGGTCACAATAATCTCAAGATAAAGCCTCCCCGAGATGATTTATGAGCCGGAGAACGACCAGGGTTAGTAGTGCTTTTAGCACCAAGCTTTTCATTTTAAGACACCATGGCAAATAGATATATATTTTTATGTCTCGTTTTGTTTTGTATTGAATACATTTAAATCATATATTAATGACATGATTTAATCAATTCAGCCAAGCTTCGATTGATTATATTTTTAAAGATTTTAAAGATTTTTTCATTGATTTGTTTTATTAAAACCCCACAGTACACCGTCATGCAATTAATATATGCATTAAGAAATCAATAATCACTATATTTTTAATCAATTTAGCTATCTTCAATATATTTGATATTCTTTTAATAAGATTACGTTGTGGTTATTAGTACCATCGTTTTATGTGAATGGAATCTATGGTTAAATACATTCTGAAGATGTATTGCATTCTTTACAGTTACAAAGCCTGGAGACCCAGAAAAAGACACGTCGGGAGATCACGTGACATTCTCAACTGGACACGAGTAAAAGCATCCAAATATCGCCAAGTGACGGTCACCTCAAACCTCTAACGTTATGCGTGCTGACTGACGTACGCAAAGCCCGTCCCATAGGGCGGCAAGATCACGTGGGCCTGGAGAATATGATTGAGTGATATAGACGCGGAAAGAGTGACATCATAATTCGCGAACATCTCACTTTGCGACTGTCGGTGTAAGTTATATAGTGCGGTTGTCCGTGCGTGAAAAAGGATCTTTCAGAAAAGTTGCTAATTTACTGCAACGGTCAAGTTGGATTTATGCGATGAAGGATGTGATGATGTGATGTAGGAGAAGATTTATTACACATATCCACATGACTACAGCTTGCAGACCGTGACGATGTTGTTGACGACCACGTTTGATGTAGTATGCGAGGCTGTACATATATTCGGTCACACAAACACTGAATATTTCTCGCATACATCACACGGAATGACCCAAAGCACAGTTTCTTCGGTGTAACGGGATATGGTGTGACTGTTAGATCAAGTACGGATAGATTTGACTGAACCTTCTCAAGGCTTACTGACATCTTGACTTAAAGCTAATGAAGAGCCTCAATAATCGGCCATGATGAGACTGTAGAATATCAACGCATTTAACGTCAAAGACATAATTAATCGTTAAGATTAATCTACATCCTTGGTTTACAGATTGTCAACATGGGAAATCGTGTGGACACTTCTCTTTGATGTTTGGAGTTTTAAGCAGAAACTGTCGTAATTTTGGACGTGAGACCGTTAAACTATTCACTTACGTGATATAAACCTCTCCATAGACGTAGTTTATTCACCCAGGTTCGAGAAAAGATATGATTTACGGAAGACGGTGTTATGTAAAACATCTCCACTGAAACGTGTTCACCTGTTTCCTGATAGAGGAACCCTGTTCTACCTGTATTGATTGCAAACGCGGCGAGATGAAAGTTTTCACCTGGATTCTTCTGTTGATATACCAGGTGTGCAGCGTTCACCTGGGAAAAGGTAGGTGTTTCACCAACATTTTTGTTGAAGGGATTGCATATTATAACTCTGTGATCTTTTAATAGTTTTGAGAATATGCACGAGTTTGGCAGTATATGACATGAGTGTTCCTGCGTGCGAACTGTTTCAACATATGTCAAAAACTCGATGCCATGACATGAAAAAATATAGTTTTATATCTTGTTCCTAAATACCAAATACTCGAAATTGACACCTGTGTGGCAATACAGTGAGTGAGTTTAGTTTTTCGCCGCACTCAGCAATATTCCAGCTATATGGCGGCGGTCTGTAAATAATCGAGTCTTGACCAGACAATCCAGTGATCAACATCAAGAGCATCGATCTGCGCAATTTGGAACCGATGACATGTGTCAAGTCAGCGAGCCTGACCACCCTATCCCGTTAGTCGCCCCCTACGACAAGCATGGGTTACTGAAGATCAATATTCTCACCCGGATCTTCACGGGTTGTGGCAATACAGATGTGTACGAAGCATATATTATCATTTTTAACAATATGGACGAAATGATTGATATCTTTACTCGGTCTCTTTGACATCTAATTTTGTTAATGTTCAAGTGCACTAACACTCACGTCTTTTGCCTGCACTCAAGGACTTTGATGTCTATGGGTAATGGAAGGAACGGGATGAACCGTGTCGTCCCTCGGCCTTTTCTATATTTTTATTTAAGTGTTTAGAAGCAACTAAACGGGATCGGGTGGTCAGGTTCACTGACTTGGTGGATGCATACCATCGAATCCCCATTGAATAGAACGATGCTCATGATATCACTCACTGGCTTGTTTTGTTCAGATTGGACTATTTGTTGACCACCACAGCCGGAATATGGCTGACGGTGACGTTAAACAAGAAAGAGATAAATATTAAAGTTTTATGGAATATGTATTAAAACACATTCTGATGCATACACAATAGGTTCCTGTGATACATTTCCCTTTTAACAATTCCTGACAACTGTAAATTTCAAAGTTACCTGGCGGGTTGAGAGGTCACGATGTGTAAACATAGCAAGCTGTAAACATGGTTTTCCTGAAGGAGTTTTAACTGAGCACGTCGCTCATGGCCTGACAGGGAAGAAGGATAGTTATAGTGACTGTAACATTGTTACATTGTCACAGCTAAATGTACACTGCTAAGTGGACCTGACGCTGACATGTGTGTTGTGGAATTGTACGAATGCCTATTGGGGTCAAAACCGTAGCTTAATCGTTTTGACAAAACTGACTGACTGAGTTTGGTTTTACGCCGCTTTTAGCAATATTCCAGCAACATCACGGCGGGGGGACACCAGAAATGGGCTTCACACATTGTGCCCATGAGGGGATTCGAACCCGGGTCTTCGGCGTGATGAGCCAACGCTTTAACCATTAGGCTACCCCACCGCCCCCTTTGACAAAACTGAGAATTACAAGTAAGTTGTCTTTGGAGTGAGTGAGTTTAGTTTTACGCCGCTATATTCCAGCAATATCACGGCGGGGGCATCAGAAATGGGCTTCACACATTTTACCCATGTGAGGAAACGAACCCGGGTCATCGGCGTGACGAGCGAACACTTTAACCACTAGGCTACCCCATCGCCCCCAGTTGTCTTTCGAGCCTTTATTACAAGAATAGGGTCTCTATGAAGTAGTATTAAAGTTGTCTAAATGTAAATGTTGCGTGAAATTACATTTGAGAAGTCGTTTGAGTGTGAAGACAGGAGCTAATGGTTTATGACAATTTGTTTGAGAAGATAGTTCATGGTTCAAATGTGCTATTTATAATATATGTTCAGTTAGCAGTAATTAAACATTGTTTACTGTTAGATTTAATGGGAAACGTTTGTAAATCATGAATACAGACAGCTGGCATACATTATATAAACGAACAGCAGGAATTAATTGATTTTGATTGTAGACAGTTCTTGTCGTTTTATATATGTAGCTGCCGCCAGATGTGGATGCAACCCCCCAAAAAAACCCGCTAATATGAGAGAAACTTCAAAAGTGAGTGAGTTTGGTTTTACGCCGCTAATAGTAATATTCCAGCAATATCACGGCGGGGGACACCAGAAATGGGCTTCACACATTGTACCCATATGGGGAATCGAAACCGGATCTTCGGCGTGGCGAGCGACCGCTTTAACCACTAGGCTACCCCACCGCCCCAGAAACTTCAAAAGACGTATTGCAATCATACCAACGTGTTATTAACATGAACAGTTTAAGTCAATATCAGCTAAGATCTGAAGCATTTCAAGTGATTATCTTCAAAGCATTTACAATGGCTCCTCTCCCCACAGGTAAAATGATAGTCAGTGCTTGTAATTTGATGGAACGTTATTGTATAAATAAGTATGTTTACAAGTGTATCAACGTGATTAATGACATCTCTTAATCACATCAACTGACACTGGTAAATCATGTCTTTGCAACTGAGAATATATCGCATGTTGAAAAGATGTGGTACTTTCCATATTACTACCGTAACACATGGCAATGACGAATATATTGTCGTAATAAGGCACAAGTAACTCGTACTTGAATTTAATATAATTTAATTTAATTCTTTAATTTGATTTACGGTTCACAGACTTTTGACCTCTTTTCTTCTTAACCAATTTCAAGGACCTGTTGTACTGATATTTCTTAAATGTACCGCATTCTTGAAAAAAAATGAGCTCTTGCAAAAGAATAATATTCGTTATTAAATTACATGAAAACAACAATGAGCAACCTGTATATTGAAAAAAAATATGTCTGAGTTGTATACCTTAAAACAAATCCTGATTTCATACCACAACACGGGCGAAATGTTATTCCCTTAGTTTGATGTTTGCATTTTTGAGAGGCTGTGTAATGCAAGGCCTATGGAATTTATCGCGTACATTTGAATTCTTACAAAGGCGTTGATCAACAATGCACATATATACGGTAACTGAAACTTGTTGATCTGCTCAAATCGAGTAGCTTCTTTCTAGGCATTTTCAATGAAACTTTTGGGGAGAGATGTTAGAGAGATAGCCGAAGTGAAGAAGGTGTCTGACGTTTATCACTCTGGTCAGGTTTGGTGTTGACAAACCATAAATCATTATCACAGCAATCATCAGTCATAGGATTCAGGCACGTCTAAGGCAGGTAACTCTGAATATCGATTTGCAACGTCATTGACGGTTGACAATCTGTGTTCAGGAAGTCGTAAAATATCGTTTCATAAGTGTTACACATGCTACAGATAAATAACATTATCACAGTATCCTGATAACCAAATCAAACTTACCTAAAAGTACATTTTTGGACTTAACATAAGACGAAGGACGGCCCGGGCTCATGAAAACAAATGTCCACCATATGCTTTGTCTATCATTCAGGTTTCATTGTTCTCGCGAAACGGCTGTTCATATAGAAACATCAAATAAATAACTTATTTTTATTAATCCACTCAGGATGGCTGAATAATAAATCAAATCTTCCACCAGAATTACCACGGATATTATCTTTGCTCTGTATTGATAAAGTGTTCCTGAACATACTTTGAATAACCGATCTGTTTGCATCAAACACTTTCCTCTTCGCAACTAGATGTCAAACCCGGAAAATCTGATCGATCGGCACGCTTGAAATATTTCTTAATACTCCACATTCTAAATATCACTTTCTCTTGTTAAATATCCATACCAACAATTTTAGCAATGGCCAAAAGATTCACGCATTCAGAGAAACAAATCCTCAGTGCATATTAAACCATACTTTCTTGGATTTTAAAGGTTCCTTGAAGAGACGAAATTCGTTTTTGTAAAATGGCTATTTAGACAAGGGATATGCAGGTGTTGAAAATGTAGTCCTGGTGACGTTATTTAAATAAATATGGAATTGAACGATTATCTTAGGTATGTTAACAACGAACTTACGTATTTGGAACGGTCTGAGTTTGCGCAGGTGTGTATTAGAATTGACATGCAAATCAAGGCCATTGTCAGTCATATCTCATGCAAGATTACTGTCACGCGTGCGGCTCGTGTATGTGATGATATTTACACGTCACGTGTGAACCCAAGCCGCAATTAGAACATTTATTTATGCAAAATGTTTCCGTTAAAGATCGAAGAATATTGGTATTCGGTGTTTAAGAAGGCATTTCACTCACATTATACATATAATACATCAATATATAATGACGCGGAAATCTTTTATTGACAAATTGTATGATCAGTTTGTCTATGTAATAGCATGGTTGGTCATATATTGTAAGATGTTGATCACTTGATTGTCTGGTCCAGACTAGATTATTTTCAAACCGCAGCCATATAGCTGGAATATTGCTGAACGCTTGTTCTTGCGCCGTATGCTATCTATATAAATCGATTAGTTGACAGGATACCTTTCAACATACCTCAGTAGATACATAGAAATCTATGTAGACGACAAGAGTAGAATCATATGAGACCTGAGCTGGTATCAACTGTAAAGTGTCGAGTTTTCATCTATACATCTATAGTGAATATTCCTGTAACGTTAGTTCCGACGTTTCTAAGCAGCATAGTGCTCATGCCGAATGCACTGGTTCGGTTGACCACACGAGAACACTGAAGCCCATTCTGGTGTCCCCCGTTGTAATACTGCTGGAATACTGCTGGAATACTGCTAAAAGTGGCATGAAATCCAACTTACACTTAGAGTGACGAGTGAGTATGGTTTTACGCCGCTTTTAGCAATATTCCAGCATTATCTTGGCGTGGGACACCAGAAATGGGCTTCAAACATTGTATCCATGTGGAGAATCGAACCTGGGTGTTCGTCGTGACGAACGAACGCTTTAACCACTCGGCTACCCCACCGCCCACTCACACTTGGTAGTTTCCTTTGTTTTCTGGTGGAACATCAGAATGAATAGCTATGCGTGAAGCCCATTTCTGGTGCTCCTTGATCTGAAGATACTGTATGTAGGTTTCTTCTGTTGTTATTTGGAAAAGTGTTATAGTGAGTGAGTTCAGTTGGACGCCGCTTTTAGCAATATTCCAGCAATATCACGGCGGGGGGACACCAGAAATGGGCTTTAAACATGGTACCTATATGGGGAATCAAACCCGGGTATTCGGCGTGACAAGCGAACACTTTAACCACTAGGCTACCCCATCGCCCAAGGTATCTTATTACAAGAATAAGATCGCTATATGAAGTTTTATTAAAGTTATTCAAGTGTAAATGTTGCGTGAAATTATATCGCTTCGGATTAGGGTTACATAACTGCTTGATCAAAGCTACGTATTTAGCTTATATTATACGTTACAGCTGTAATTCAGACATACCTGGTGCGCCTGTTGTATGAAACATGATTCAACCTGTACTTGATTTCCTTAGTGCGGATTCCAGATAGTCAGACACACTGCAATTATGATTGATTTATTTCCTGAATAATTCATGTCCCTTTAAGCAAAAGAATAAAGACAAATTGCCCTTTCATATTGTCATTTATCGCAGTTTTGTACGTAAAACATGCATATTTCGGTCTTACATACAGCCCCGTTTGAAATATGTTGTAGCCACTGGAAGTTCCGGGTCAGAATAACCTGCCGGACGCTGGGCATAAAACAGGGCGCAGTGTCTGAATGTCTGAGTGGGTGGTGGGGTAGCCTAGTGGTTAAAGCGTTCGCTCGTCACGCCGAAGACCCGGGTTCGATTCTCCACATGGGTACAATGTGTGAAGCCCATTTCTGGAGTACCCCGCGGTGATATTGCTGTAATATTGTTAATAGCGGCGTAAAACTAAACTCACTCACGTCATAGTATCTCAGTGGGTCAGGTTGAGGTTGAGTCCATCGTTATTAACATGGCGCCTGGCTTCTGACAATGGTGATCCAAGTATATGAACCGTTTGTTAGTGTCCCGTTGTCATTATCTGCCTTGTTTACAAACACAACCATAAGCATTGATGTTGTTGATTGAGACGCTAAACAACATATAACCACAAATTCTATGAATTCGGTTTATGTGTAACTTACCTTCAAAATTCTTTTACCACAACGCAAAACCACTTGCTTTTGATTATATTGTATGGACCTACCACTGACAACAGGGTCGCTATAAATGAGGAAAAGTGACTTCGACGTCCTCGTTTGTCAAACACAACGTCATACCGACCGTACAAAAAAAATCTACAAAATGAGTCAGTTGTTTGCCATGTTTGCTTCTTTGTAACTATCTACAATTGTTCGCTCGTGAAGATCCGGAAAAGGCGACTAACGGGATTGGGTGGTCAGGCTCGCTGACTTGGTTGACACATGTCCTAGTATCACAATTGCGTAGATCAATGTTCATGCTGTTGATCACTTGATTGTCTGGTCCAGATTCGATTATTTACAGACCACCTCCATATAGCTGGAGTATTGTTGAGTGCGGCGTTAAACAACAAACCAAACCTGTATTGTATTCACATAAGCTGATCCTGGCCTTATAATTAAAAGAAACATCATCCATAGTGATACATTGGAAATATCAAGAGTGAATGGGTATAAAGGAATGATTTGAAAAGACTATAACTATAATATTTCAAATATATTTCAATTAGAATACAAATACCAACGTTCATTGCATTTTTATCCTGCACGTTGTGTATATATCTGACAACAACATCCCCGTCGAGATATGAATTATATCGTGATAAAGCGGTGTAAAACCGTACTCACTCACTCTCACAACGAAATATCTTTTCCAAAAAGCTCTTTTTTCGCTTATTCCATACAATGCCCATAATAAATGGATTAACACGACATAACGTTTGGCTTATTGGCTTATCGTCAAGACGAATAAAGCATAAATATGATGTCAAGCTTCATCTTACTGGAGCATTAGGATCAACTTCCTAGTTAAACCGACATCCACCAACTCGTACCGTTTTTGTTTTATTTGGCATCTTAGAATGTATTCGTAACACAAGCTTATACACGGAAACAAATCATAAAATAGCCTAATAAATCTAAAATTGGTATATAATAGTATGAATAACGCCGTTTTCACGCTGAGGAGCACGTGGTTTTGGAATCGTGGCTATCGTACAGTAAATGTTATGATAAAAAGGATCAAAGAGCGCTGTATATAAATGTTGTAACGATTGTGGTCAACAGGACCTTTTGTGCATCATGTAAGTTCAAATTCGTTCTTAACATCAACTAACGGGTCTACGTGCCTAATAATCATACTTCGAGCTCCCGGTGAAATTACATTTTGCTCTGTTCAGCGAGAAAATGGTTGTTGCTATCTACCGTCCTCCGGTTTGGCCTGAATATCGCTATTTCCAGGGGCGGTGGGGTAGCCTTGTGGTTGAAGCATCCGCTCCTCACACCGAAGACCCGGGTTCGATTCCCCACATGGGTACAATGTGGGAAGCCCATTTCTGGTTTCCCCTTCCGTGATGTTGCTGGAATATTGCTAAAAGCGGCGTAAAACCAAACTCACTCACCCGCTATTTCCAACAATTGCCATCTTAGACTGAATGTTTATACCATTTTGTGTTGATGAAGAACATGACCTGTGAAGTTTAGTCCATCGTCATTCACATGGCGCCATGGCGTCCATGGCATACTTACATCTGAAATGAAGATTGGGTGGTCCCATGACCATCCACCGTTTGTCATTATCTGACACAACAGACACAACGATATAGTTTTCATGTTGTTGATTGCGGTTTATGTGTAAGTCACCCACATAATTTGTTTTTCCACATGAAGTGAAAGCAAAGCCACCTGTTTTTCACGGATAAACAATAGGGTCGCTGTAAATAAGGACAAATAGATGTCCACAACGAGTTGCTTAAAATCTCTACGATCTACCAGAGGCAGAAATTCTGTACATGTTCATAGAAGCTGGCATTACGTTTTCCTTGAATGAAATCGAATTTGTAAATGTGTTTTCAAGTTTGGCATTGTATTACATTTAACACTATTTAATCAATAAAAGGCTTAACACATTGTACCATGGGGATTTGGATCCGGAGAGCGAACTTTTTGCTACTGGGCTGAATCTACGTCCGTGTGTTTAAAAAGAATCGTTGATTTAATCAAATCTGTTCACTGACATGTATTTTTTTTTGCGTGTTTAAACAGTTGTTGACTAGAGCTGTCACGGCTGAAAATATCCACCATACCCGTACAAAAGTAACAATCCGACTTATGAAAAGCATAGCGTGATGTGTCAGCCTACCCAGATGACGTATATCGACGTTTATGCTATCAGTTGCCTCGATTATTTACAGGTAACCGCAATGCAGTTTTGTTTTGTTTATTGTCTAATGCCGCACTCAGCAAAAATCTCAGCTGTATGACCTTTTAAAGGTATGTAACTAACTGAATATAGATCAGATAATCCACTAATTGACGCCATGAGCATCGGTATACGCGATTAGGATACGATGATATGCATCAAACCAAGTCCACGAGCCTGAGCACCCGATCTCGTTAGTCGCCACTTACGACAAGCATAGGTTGCTGAAGATCAATTCTAACCCGGATCTTCACAGGAACGTCACGTACCTGGCATATTAATGGCTGTGGCGTAAAACGATTTTTAACCTTAACTGACTGACTGAGTTTGGTTTTACGCCGCATTTAGCAATATTCCAGATACATCATGGCGGGGGACACCAGAAATGGGCTTCACACATTGTATCCATGTAGGGATTCGAACCCGGGTCTTCGGCGTGACGAGCCAACGCTTTAACCATTAGGCTACCTCACCGCCCCTAACCTTAACCGAACCTTCATCACAAGGAATGTACTAGTGATCTAGAAGTGATGACGAGTCCTGTCTCGTGACCTAAATATGACTGGGTTCCACGGTCCATATATTTGCGTGGCTTGTGTAACAGTATCGTCGCTGGCAGAGACACTACGGGCACGTGGCCTTTCAAGAAAATTACCAACATTAAAGATGGGATGGCCAAATTTCCACAGATTTTTTCCATCGCATCTGATTTTACCATAAGGTATCATCAAGCGCAGAATGCTTGTTTGACGTTACATAAGACGCGATATATCGGTAAGTGTCCAAGTACTGAAGAAATCATGCAATGTACTATCGAAACCTGGTTATACCCTTACGCTATAGGGGCGGTGTGGTAGTCCAGTGGTTAAAGCGTTCATTCGTCACGCCGAAGACCCGGGTTCGATTCCCCATGTGGGTACAATGTGCGAAGCCCATGTCTGGTGTCCCCCGCCGTGATACTGCTGGAATATTGCTAAAAGCGGCGTAAAACTTGACTCACTCACTCTTACGCTATAAGTTACAAATACTCTGGGCGACATGACATAATAATTCAAACGGTGGCGAAATGTTTTCAATTGAGAAACCTTTGATGTTTTGTGTGAAATTATCAAAATCCCAGGTTCACCCGACTGAGAGCCTTGAACAATCAGCACCATATTTTGCTCGTTGGTAAACGTCTTGCTCATTTCACATAGTGGACCTGCCATTATATAACGTAAGAACGTCAAATGACGTCAAACCAAACTCTCACTTTCTCTCGGTATAACCATCTCATTATAAAGTTAAATTGGGATCCGTGGACTCTAGATTTTTTGTCAGTCGTTTAAGTTCTGAGTTTCCAAACATGTCTCAGCTCTTGTAAACAACTCAGCCATCAAGCCGAAATGTAACCTTGACCTTTGACCCCACGGTCGGTGTTCCTTGTTTGAGCCTTGGTACGTGTGGCGCCGCGTTTCCTTGTTGACACTTGTGCGCTTTGCTTGTGAACTAGCCGAGTCATCACATTGTTGACTGGTGTCGCGATGAATCTAATTACCGACCGGACACAACCATATCTTATAGTCTGTTTGCAGTGAAAACGTACCGGTGAATTTCACTTTAAACAAAAATGTAAATCGAATACAGTGAAATTAAGATTGCGAATCCTCATAATTCTACCTTGCCAATTTAAAAATTAAATCTTAGATTTTTATTCAACTTAGGAAAAAAGTTGTTTAACAAACGATCATTGTTTCAAATCGCTTATATTGGTTTGTATTACAAGGGGGTAAGCGCAGTAGTTGGAACAGAGAAACAAATGCACGTGCGGTACGTGATGAACGTTAACTTAGACCAACCCTACTTGTTCTCGGTGTTTCATTTAATGTGCATACCCCCTTGTAATACAAACCAATAATACCGATTTGAAACTATGATCGTTTGTTAAACAACTTTTATCCTAAGTTGAATAAAAATCTGAGATTTAAATTTTGAAATGGCAAGGTAAAATTATGAGGATTCGCAATCTTAATTTCTCTCTATTTGATTTACATTTTTGTTTAAAGTGAAATTCATCGGTACGTTTTCACCGCAAACAGACTAAGTCAGCGAACCCGACCACCTGATCCCGATAGACGCCTCTTACGACAAGCATGGGGTTACTGAAGACCATTTCTAACCCCAGATCTTCACGTGCTGCATTTATAACGAAATCGCTTGTAATAAACTGACGGATATATCGAACTCTATAATTTACTCGAAATGCATATAACGAAGTACGGTTATCACGAACATACATTAGTGGACTCCTTAAGTTCCTTATACATGTAATTGACCGCCGCCATATAGTTGGAATATTGCTGAGTGCGGCGTAAAACTAAACTCACTCACCTACTCCTTATAACTTAGGGCGGTGGGATAGCCTAGTGGTTAAAGCGTTCGCTCGTTAAGCCGAAGACCCGGTTTCGATTCCCCACATGGGTACAATGAGTGAAGTCCATTTCTGGTGTCCCCCGCCGTGATATTGCTGGGAAATTGATAAAAGCGGCTTAAAACCAAACTCACCCACTCACTCCGTGTAACTTATAACTTAATTTTAACCGTCAACCTGTAAGATAATCCAGTGCAAGTTTTCAATAAATCCCTAATTAAACGTTTTGTACAGCCAGTTTTAACACACTGATGTTTCTGTGGGTGCTTTAATAAATATATGTTTTCTATGTTATAAATTATCACTTTATCCCGGTGTAAAGCAAAACATATCTTCTTCGAGGATTCCTCAAATTCCGCATGTCATGTCGCGCCCCTATGGTCTTAATATCAACATTTATAACCCAACAAGTGAGATTTGCTGCTGTCGTATGAAACGTGAAGCGTTTTTTACATACGTTTCCCGTATTTTACTATTGTATCGTTTCATATAACAGAGTTGTAATTGTATTCGCGCATAATTAAGCTAGCTTTTATACCTACGGATTACAAGTTAATCTCTTCAAGCATAATTGTGTAGGCTTGATGAATATGGAAACAAGTGTCTCCGCCATATTTCGTGCGTAGTTTGTTTTTAAGCTCAGATCGCATTGTTTACATTGTTAGCTTGCACGCCCGGTCAAGGTACCAAGATAAATCCGGGACGGTCATTCATTATCTTTTTTTTAGAGGATATTGGTGAGTTTGGTGGGATTAGGGGCATGGCAGTAAAATAAGTGGGTGAACAACATTTAGCACAACTGTGTAACGTTATTTAAGGGCAGGTAATATATTATAGAGTAGGGCGTGAGAAACAGGGTCATTAAGTACGTTTCTTCAACAACACCTGAATTTGGATTTCAGGAGGTCTTTATGTGCCCGTAAATTTTACTCGGAGTAACTTCAAAGATAGTTTGTTTGATTTCAATAAAACTTCACCCCAGGAGAAATGTTGATTTAGAAGACGTGAGCATTTCGATACATTTGAGTATATTGTTGTTTCTTAACTCGTTCATGTACAGTAGTTGGCCATAAGTGAGTCATCATTAGTGAAATTTCCATAGACTTACATGTTAAATAACTGTTGCAAGATTAATTTCCAGAAATTGATTAAAAGTCTTTTTATTTTGATATGTTGCAACATCGTGGAATCATCTTCCACTACGTGTACATTATTTTCTTTCATCTTTCCGTTGATTAGTTATCGAGTGACACCTGTTTAAGCACCTTATATTAGTACCACTATTAATCTATCCCACAGACAGCCATGTTAAACCTGATTGGTATGTCTAATATGTGTTGTTTAAATAGTTGCAGTTTTCTTAATAATCATCGGAAAATTTAATGGAACTTATGTGTATATAGCTGAGATGATTTCCCAGCTGGTGGATAAGTATTGAAAGCAATTCGACCGAAACTAAATTTATGAAAATTATTCTTGCAAGAGTTAATTGACATGTAAGTCTATGGGAATGTCACTGATGATGACTCACTTATGGCGAACTACTGTAGATTTACCAAGGTCTGAAAAGGTTTTCGTTGTCGTGTATCTTTGCTTTCTAGTTGTGTTATAAGAAAGTCAGGTGGTAGAGCAAACATATTTACACGTATGCATGATGGATTTAGGAGTTTACCGTTAAGTAACTGTACATGTACCCATCTGAGGAGAACAACAATGACTGTGCATTTATAACAATTGAAAGAACGTTAAATATGGAATAACACATTTTACGCTATTTCAGCATAAACTTATTTTACATATTAAGCATGATTCATATTATTTATTATTGTTTAAAAACTTTGTGAGTGAGTGAGTGAGTTTTGTTTTACGTCGCTTTTGGCAATATTCCAGCAATATCACGGCGGAGGACACTAGAAATGGGCTTCACACATTGTACCCATGTGGGGAATCGAACCTGGGTCTTCGTCTTCTGGGTAGCTCTCGGCGTTAAAGGATAAGACTGGTCCCATCGGTGTCTAAAACTTTGTGCATGCATGTTGCCATATAAAGGCAATAATATCCTTAAATTTAACTGTTCGCTTGGGACGTGACGAGTGGACGCTTTAACCATTAGGTTACCCTACCACTCCTTTCTACATTTAGACTGAGGTGGAAGGAATCAGAGTTACAAAACGCTTTCCACAAAACTGCTTGACAAAAGGGATGTCTTCAAATTTCAAACAGTAAGCTTCCCCATTTAGTCGAGCAGCCTTCCAGCAACTCACCCGTCAGCGTCTTTACCCACCAACTTTGAGTGAGTGAGTGAGTTTACTTTTACGCCGCATTTAGCAATATTCCAGCAATATAACGGCTGAGGACACCAGAAATGGGCTTAAGACATTGTACCCATGTGGGGAATCGAACCCGGGTCTTCGGCGTGACGAGCGAACGCTTTCACCACTAGGCTACCCCACCGTCCCCACAAACTTTGAAAGTCAATCGGGCACAGTATTTCCACGATGATTTCAATGAGGGTCACATAAGAACAGTTCATACTGAATACGTATTCTTCAGTGGCTCAGTAAGAGATTGGACATAGAACGAGTAAATGCGTGAGTGTGGTTTTACGCCGCATTTAGCAATATTCCAGCAATATCACGGCGGGGGACACCAGTAATGGGCTTAAGACATTATAACGATATGGAGAGTCGAACCCGGGTGTTCAGCGTGACGAGTGAACTCTTTAACCACTAGGCTACCCCACCGCCCCACGGAAAGAGAACGAAATAAGACCTGATAAGCCTGTATAATCTTATATATGTTTTATTTTGCATATAAAAACGAGCGTTTGCTTTCAGGTAGAGTTATTTATTTAGGTCAGTTCGCGCTACGGAATTAATGCACTTAATATCGGAAGCCCAACTTTGTTTCTTGATGCACAGATTGTTCGAGGTGTTTAAAGAAGCCTACTTGATAACAGGCTTTACAATCTAACTGATTCTAAAATGCTCACTGTAATGCCTATTTAAAATGATCGAATATTGGACAGCGGCATTTGACAATCGGTTGGATTCATTCCGAGGATATTGTGTAGTGGGGCAATAATCATGCTTCAAAATCTGTCACAATGAGTATACTTGAGTGGGTTTGCCTTTAGAACGCTTGTTGTGAGATTTTAGCAACCGCAAGGCTTGAGGCACCAAAAATGGCTAAGCAAATAGGTAGTCAAACCCGGCGTGGCGAGCGAACACGATAACCTCTCGGTTTTCATAAAATTTCTGACTGAATTACACCCATCTTCTTCTGGAAACGATTGTGTTCTGGCGTAGAGGATAGAGTGTCTGTCTGGTGAGCGGAAGGTCGGCGGTTCGATCCCCGGTGACGTCATACCAAAAGACGGTACAAAGATGATACATGTTGTTACTCTGGGTAGCTCCCATCGGAGTCTATATTCTGTGCATCCATGTTAAACTGTATCACAGTATCTCGATGGGCTGGCACCGGAAGTCCTGGGCCCCGTTCCTCAAAGCGATCGTAGCGCTACGACAGTCGTAAGTCTATGTTAAAGTATGGGAGTTACGATCATCTTAGCGCTACGACAGTCGTAAGTCTATGTTAAAGTATGGGAGTTACGATCATCTTAGCTCTACGACTGTCGTAAGTCTATGTTAAAGTATGGGAGTTACGATCATCTTAGCGCTACGACAGTCGTAAGTCTATGTTAAAGTATGGGAGTTACGATCATCTTAGCGCTACGATCGCTTTGTGGAACGGGGCGCTGGTACGTTGGTCCCATTTGGGGTAAAGAACCTACGTCTGTAGCATGGAGAGTGAACACTTCAAAAAGGGGCTATGATACCCTTTCACAAAGCTATATTGCAGGGTCTAGTATAACTTTGAGGAAGGCCACACAGGCCACACTCACATGCATGCATGTTGCCATATAAAGGCAATAATATCCTTAAATTTAACTGTTCGCTTGGGGCGGTGGGACAGCCTGTTGGTTTAAGCGTTCACTCGTCACGCCTAAGACCCGGATAACATGGATACAATATGTAAAACCCATTTCCGATGTCCCTCGCCGTGATATTGCTGCAATATTGCTAAAAGCGGAGTAAAACCAATCTCACCCCTTCACTCAACAGTTCGCTAGTCACGTCGAAGACCAGGGACCGCCACCCTGGTGTAGTGGTTAGAGCGTCCGCCCGGAGAGCGGAAGGTCGCGGGTTCGATCCTCGACTGCGTCATACCAAAAGACGTTAAAATATGGTACTTGTTGGTCCCTGCCTGGCGCTCGGCATTAATGGGTACAACAATGATTGGTCGGCTCGGAGTCAGTATAATGTGTCTGAGTGGGGTATTCATGCTTCACTGCGGCATGGTATCTCAGTGGGCTAGCACTATAAAACCAGCTTAAGTCTGGGCTAGTACAAGCAGCCGCACATACACATACACACGCATGCACGTCGTCATATGAGCGACATATTCTCAAGCACGACGTTAAACCCAATTTCACCTCACCTCACCGAAGACCAAGGTTCAGTTCTCCACATGGATACAATGAGTTAAGCCACCGTGATATTGCTGGAACATTACATAAAGCGGCATAAAACGTTACTCATCCATTCAATCACTAAACGCAACGCTGATGGTCATTAACCTCCCCGCGCCGTCTAAACCCATATCAGACATATCTGCAGACATGACGTTTATAAGAATGTCACATATTTCATGATGACTGACAGTGATTGACGTGATCGATTTCCTAGACTCGGCAAATTTGCAGAATCACATCACCGATCTCGTCAGCCGTTGTGAGATGTTTCATCAGTGGTTTCATCCTCGAGTTCATCCTCGAGTTCATCCTGATGGTACACATACTTCATCATGTATACGGGGAGTTGCTGAACACGTCATCGTCAGTACGTGGGTGTGGTAGGCAGACGTCTGTAAAACACATATGTACGACGTACATACTTGAATGTAGTCGTCCCTGCATACCTCAGTTCAAGCATTCCGTAAATATCATGAAGTTCGTGCATATTTCAAAGTCTTTGCTTATCTTGAGTGTATATTTCATGGATAAGACATATACTGAGTTGTTTCATAAATGTTGCAATGGTGTAGTGGGAATGATGATGCATTCCAACATCCACTTGCGCTGTTTCCACAGGGTTTTAGCTTGACTCACAAACATAGGGAGCCGGGAACCCCAAATTAGTAGTTTTAGGGGTCCTTGAGGGCAATATGATGGTCCTGTGAACTAACGGTGTAGAGAACTGTAAACTATTTAGTTCTGATTATTTCTTTAGAGCCTGGAATGGATAATTAATTATGTAGAGTCATGGACGGATTCGGTGTGTGTGTGTGTGTGTGTTTTCAGGCGGTTCGCCCCCCCTTTTAAAATGACTTAAGGACACATTGAAGATTTTTGTTTTTCCGCTGGTAGTGAAACCCTGACCCCACCCCAGCCCCACCCCCTTTCAAAATTCCTGGATCCTAGCAAAGTCATAGATGTGTTGTGGGTACAATGAATGATATTGTGCGTCCCTCTGGTCGCTGTGAACTTTCTTCTGCTCCATTCTCGGTGTAGTGGACCCACTTTTGCGCTTCGAGTAAAACCCTGATAAATGAATTCATTTGTTGGTTTGTTTGGTGCTTGTTTAACGCAATACCCAACAATATTCAAGGTATATGGCAGCTGACTGTACAAATAATCGAATCTGGACCAGACAATCTAGCGATTCACATATGATTAAGAACATCGATCTACGCAACTGGGATATGATGACATGTGTCAACCAAGTCAGCGAGCCTGACCACTCGATCCCGTTAGTCGCCTCTTACGACAAGCTTGGGTTACTGAAGATCAATTCTAACCCAGATCTTCACGGGTATATATGATTTCAAAGGTTTATAGGTTGTTTGTCTGTATAGGACGTGCTTTCCATTGTTTATGAACACCATGTGTCATCATTAAAGTGTTTACTCCGAATAATCGAGACTGGTTATTGTCTGGCGTTGACGTTGTGTATTTAATGTGTACAGTTAACTGAAAGAAGATAAATATTTCTTTGGTCATATACTGTTCCATTCCGAAAAGCAACTTGAAAATTAGGTTATCCTGGAGTTTGGAAATAGGTCTTGGAGTGAATAAAACGAAAGTTGAAGACTGTCTGAGAAGTGAGGGGAGATTGTTCCATTCTGTTACTGCATTACTAGCAAAATATCTTTGGCCATTTCATAACTGGAATTGTCCACAGAAGCTTGTTATCTGACCTCAGTGAGCGAATGATGTGTTAAAGATTGACCATTTCACTAATGGCATCATATTATAAAGAGAATGTGTCCCTCGTATATCAGAAAAGAAATGTTTAATGCTCTTAAAATACGAGTTATACGAGTTGCCTTCTTAATACGGTATATGACATCTATGACAAGGAAACGCACTCAACTAAATAAATGTCTTTTTCCAATTCATACTTATATAGAGATAGGATGGTGTGGCCCTCGATGTCCCAGACGCATGTTTTATAATGTACTATAACATTGCGGTTAACGACCTGGATAACCGGGGCAATTTGATAATTGCCTGATTACATACGATTTATGATTTATATTATAGTTAGGGGTTGCTGAGAGGGATTTGTCAGGTGAGAGGTGTCTGATTGACTACACCCCAGCGAGTAGGTGGCAAGATGGTATTGACCTTATGTAGTTAGCGTCTGATTAAGCCGTTATATCTGTCATTTATGACAAAATGTGGCCCCGGGCTATGAATGTTTGTGCATACTTGGTGAACCGTAGAGCTGGAAAAATACTTTTCACGATTCTGTGACAACTCCCAATAAGGAAATTGTGAATATGAACACGAACAGGACCTTAGCGGTGGTTCTTTCATCAAATCTGTCATAAAGCTGTCAGTTTGTGAGCCTACAGTGCGCTGCTTTAATGAATTACCGTTTATTGCTCGGTTGTTGTATTGAGGCGGTAGGGTAGCCCAGTGTTTCAAGCGTTTGCTCGTTATGCGAAGACCCGGGTTCGATTCCTCACATGGGCACAATGTGTGAAGCCCATTGCTGGTGCCCCCTAGAGCTGTGACGATATATCGTAGTATCGATAATCGTGATACTTTATCTGACGATAAATATATCGATACTTTTGTTCGTATCGTGA